GGGAGGAGAAGGTCGGCGAAGATACGGCCTTTCCGTCCACCGTGGTGCAACTCGAATGGAGTCACGCCGATCGCCGGGTGCACCGAAGTGTTGTAGGCGAACTCGATGTCAGGGAGGCGGTCAACCCAATCTTTCTGGTCCGGACGGATGAGCGTACGAAGCATCATTTGCGTAGTTTGATGTGCCCGCTCCGTTTGCCCGTCCGTCTGTGGATGCCGAGCCGAACTTGGTTTCATCTTCGTGCCGGACTCCTGCATGAGAGCAGTCCAAAATGCCGACATGAAGCGAGTGTCGCGGTCGCTGACTATGTCTTTCGGTACACCGTGGCCATAAATCCAACCGGTGTGCAAGAGGCGTGCCAGCACGGGAGCCGTGGAGTAGTACTTGCAAGGGAGAAAACGCGCATACTTACTCAAACGGTCCACAACCGTGAGGATGCCGTCGTACCCGAGGCGATCGCGAGGAAATGGTCCGGTGACATCCATAGCAATGGAGAGGCCGGGTTCCCGTGGGATAGGCATCGGGCGCAACTCGCCGTAGGGATTGCGATTGCGGGCCGTGCAATGGTGCGGTTGACTCCAAAATGGCCGGCGAGTCGCGAGTCGTGATACTCACTGAGAAGGCAAGTCCGAAGACGACGGTCTCATGGGACACACAATAAGTCCTTGCCTCTCGAGTGGAGGAGCAAGTACCCGTCGGCAATGCGATAGTGGCTGGCCGGCGGGTGATCCGAAGATAGCTGCACATACAACGTGGCGAATTCCGGATCCGACTCATATCCCCGGATGAAGTGTCGTTGAAGTTCCTCGTCGAATGCGAAGGCATGATGTGTCATAGCGCAAAGATCAAGTCTTCACGAGAGTGCATCTGCTGCGCGATTGGAGAGGCCGGGAAGATGTTTCGGTGTGAAGTCAAATTGGTCGATGAAGTACATCCATCGTCCGATCGTGCTGCTCACCGTATCCTACGTCTTGTAGTAAGTCAATGGGTTGTTGTCCGTAACCCATGTGAACCTACGACGCCCAAGGAGGAAGTGCCGCCATCGCTTGAGTGCCATCACGAACGCGAGCAGCTCCTTCTTCCTTGCATCATCAAGCGAGTTGATGGGAGGCACTTTGTGGATGAAATACTCCACAGGGTGCCAGTCGTCGCCATCGTATTGTTCCAAGACTGCCCCAATGCCATAGCCGGAAGCGTCAGTTGTCACTCTCGTAGGCAGGGTGGGGTCATAGATGCTAAGGACGGGTGGCATGAGCATGGCCGTCTTAAGTGCTTGGAATGACCGGCGTGCGTCGTCATCGAATACGAATAGCACCTTTGGCGATTGTAATCTCGTCATAGGTGCAACAATCCTTGAGTATCCGATGATGAATCGCTGATAGTAGCCCGCCAACCCCATGAATGAACGAATGTCTGTGGTGTTGGTGGGCTCGGGCCATACGCGGAGAGCCTCGATCTTGTCCACAAGCGGACGAATGCCTTGCAGCGTTACATAATGTCCCAAGTACTCCAGCTCCTGCCACGCGAATTCGTATTTGTCGCGGTTGGCTTTGTACTTGGCTTGTCGTAGCCGCTCCAAAACGGTGCGCACTGCTCGTCCAAACTCCGGCTGTACACCAGGATGTCGTCGAGGTAGATAAGAACGAATCGATCCAGCATATGTCAGAACTCTGTTGTCATAGCCGCTTGGAAAGTGGTCGGGGCATTCGTAAGGCCAAATGGCATAACCAGCCATTCGAAATGTCCATATCGCGTCTTAAACGAGGTCTTGTAGCGGTCCTCCTTCTGAATCTCGAGTTGGTGATATCCCGACTTGAGGTCCAGCTTGGAGAAGAACTTGGCGCCGCCCAGTCGTTCGAGAAGGTCGTCGATGCGTGGGAGAGGGCCGACGTTTCTGATCGTTTGCGCGTTGAGCTTGCGATAATCGATGCACAACCACAAATCCTTGTTCTTCTTCCTGACGAAGAGAACAGGAGCACCGTATGGCGATGAGCTAGGCCGAATCCAGCCTTTCTCCAGAAGGTCGTCGAGTTGTGCCCGAAGCACACTTAACTCTTCCTCGCTCATTCGGTGGATGCAACCACATGGAGGTACGGCCCCGTCCTCGAGGATGATCTCGTGGCGGATGGGCCGATCCGGTACTACTCCGTGCGGGCCTTCGAACACGTCGCCGTAGGCGTCGAGAAGCTCGGTGACGCGTGGGTCCGAAGATGAGTCCGTCGATGAAGCGTCATGGGGCGGGAGGGCGTGGAGAAAACACCCCCCCATCTCCTCGATGTCGTCTCTGATGATGGAAGCTCGCATGCTTGCGGCGGATACCACGTGACAGTTGATTGAAGGGTGAGGAGGAGCTACCGTGCATGGGACTAGTACTCCGTTCCGATCACGAACGTGAACGGTGCAGCGGTAGAAGTTCACCGGGTGATCCTCGCTTCGCAGCCATGACATGCCCAAGATCATGTCGAATTTGGTGTCCAAAATATCGAAGGACACCGCCTCGCTCGCGTGCGGGGCAAGGTACACAGGGACGTCATCAATGCACCGGTCTATTGACTTGTGGGTGTGACCGTCCGCCAACGTGACTTGCGTCGGCTGGGACTTCCTCCGGACACGTGGGCCAAGGTCGGCGCGTACCATAAAGTCCTGGCTCATGTAGCTGCGAGATGCTCCGCAATCGATCAAAGCGTTGCAGGTCGCTTCTCCGATCTGAATGCGTACATATAACAATGGTGCGTCGATGTCGTCGTACCGTTGCATCTTGAACTCGCGGTCGATCTTCGCAATGTAGGCGTGAAGGTCGACAACCTCTACTCCGACATCCATCAACGGAGTTGGTACTGCAGTGTGCAAGTAATCCCGCAATTGTGCCATGAGCACGTTGCAATGCGGTTTCGGCAATCGACCGGACCGGGGAAGGGGCATCCATTGGAAGTCCGCAAATGTCAACGGGTCGAGCTCTTCAAGTCTTGACCATGACGTTGAATCCCCGGCGGTAGATGGCGGCGAAGCTGCCGAATTGGTTGCCGATGGTGATGAAACTGTGCATGCGGTAGATTGTTGCACGTGGAGCGGTTGGTCCAGCGTGGGACCAAGTGGACAGCATAGTCCTCGTAAGCATACCGAGAACTTACGACATTCGCATCCTCCCCAGATGTGTAAGAGGCCGCTAGCAAGGTGGCTGAATCTGGCGGAGTAGGAGGTGGAGTTGCCTCACCTCCCGTGGAACTTAGTTTCCTGAGTTGATACGAGGCCGAACATCCTCCTTGCCCTGATCCTAGCAGAGGGAGGTCTTGTGCTTGGTGCTATTGCACCAATAGCAGCAGCCATAGCGGTCGCGGAACTTGTACTCGGCCTGGGTCAAGTGAAACTTGACCCATGGTGCTGGCTATCCGTTTTCGGGCGGCGATTTCCCGTTACCTCGGGACTTGTTGTTGCTTCGCGGCTGGACAGCAGCCACCTGATCTCCCTCACGTGACGCTTGGGTGGCTGTCGGGTCTTCCACAATGTTGTCAGATTTGACTGCAGCAAACTGCTGCGGTCGCGGACCAGTTTTCACCTTCTCCACATAGGTTGGCTGCCACGTTGACTTTTCGTGTGCAGCCGCCATGTTGGTCTTGATGATCTCCCTCGCCTTGTCAATAATTTCAGCGAAGGTTGCATATTGCTCGGGATCACCAAGTGCAAGGCTCAATGCAACACATGACCTGTTGTAAAACTAGCGACGCAGATGCGAAAATGGCAAGTCGAGACCGGGCGTTGCCGCGATCTTCTGCCATTCCGTGAGTCAGTCACGTGTTGCTATGTTGCCTTGTGTCATGCCGAAGAGACGGTTGATGGCGAGTGCAGGTGCGCCGTCCACGATGAACCGCTTCTTCCATAGCCGTGTTAACTCTTCCCATGAGATCTTGTCTTTCAGATCTGCGACGTCGACGCCGTGGCTGGATGCCAGGTGGCTTAACCAGGTCTGGCATCCGCCCTTTGAGTTGAGAAATAGGGTGTCGATGTACGCGTGCTTGGCGACGAACAGAATCAGCAGTTGTGTCGTAAAACCTTCCCACCAGAGGACCGGGTCTTGATGCGTGTAGTCATCGAACTTCTCAATTTGGAATGTCGGCATCTTATAATGCGTTGTGTTGTTGCCATCCTTGTTAGGCAGCTGCAGTTGCTGAACCTCGGTCTTCAATGTATCCAGCTGTTTGCTGATGGTGGTTGGCGCAACGAAGGTGCTGATGTCGCCGAGCATTGCGACGACGTGGTCGACGCGTTGCTCCAGTTAGCGGGCAGAGGGTGCATTGCTGGACTCGCCAGCCTCCGGTCTTGGTGCAACTTGCTCCAAGTCCTGCATAGGGGAATCAAGTGCCCGTGCTGCATCCTCATGCTGAGCCTTGTGGTTCCGCATGGCCCGCTGCATATTCGCCAGCTCGGACTGCAGGTGGTTACAAGTGTAAACCAACCGAGTCACGAGTTTGGCCATGAATTCGCTGTGCTGCTCTTCCGGTGTCACGTCGTCTTGATCTTCAGATGGTTCAAAGTGCCAATACTTGAGTCTTTCGATGTTGGCAGCTTCATGCCGCTGCACCAGATCCTGGGCTTCCTTTCGACGTGCTTGGGGGTATCTGCATCTGCTTCGGCCTGAAGCCGCTGCTTCTCAGCTGTTGCCGCTGCTTCAGCCTGTAGGCGGGCAGCCTCGGCTGCCAGCAAGCGTTGTTCCTAAGCCTCAATCAGTGCGAGCTGAGTCTGGAACCGCTGTTTGCAGTCGGCAATAGACTCGTTGGCCAGTTGGCCTGGCATGCCCAGAGTTGCGCCCATCATGGTGGCGGGGCACTGCTGACGTGGCACTGTTGCTTACGTGGCCCTGCTGACGTGGCATTGTTGTTGACGTGGCACTGCTGATGTGGCACTGTTGCTGACGTGGCACTGCTGACGTGGCACTGTTGCTGATATGGCACTGCTGACGTGGCACTGTACCAACTCGGAAATGCATGCAAAGGGTGGGTGGGAGGGAAAACATAGGTAGGAAACCAACCCAACAATACTTTCCTCCCGGCCCTAATCAACAGATAAAAAACAAAAAAATAAAAGAGGACTACTTCCTTTTTTTTTTTATATATATATCTGTCGATCTGTTATGAGTGAGACATGTCAGAGGAGTACTATGAACGAGATCTAGGCTAGGTTCCGCAAAGTTTCGGCTTTCACAAAAATGCGATCTTGAAAAAAAAAATTTGCGAAATAGAGTAGAGATGCGGTTTTCAGAAAAGAACTAAATCTCGTTCTGAGAATATGGCAACCTCCGGATATGCCTAACGAAATGTTGGTAGGCTTCGCACGATTTCGATTTTCAAAAAAAAAATTCCGAGATAGAATGGAAATTCGATTTTCATAAAAGAATAATTTCGGTTTCCGAGAATATGACTATGACCACTTCTATCGTTATCCCAATATGCCTAGAGAACGAAATACTAACATCAGAAATTTTCAGCTATATATGCGAAATATCAGAGAAACGAAATGCTACTATCAAGAATTTTCAAACAAAAGGAAATGCGATTTATCATAAATTTTCAGATATTTGTTACGTGAAAACGAAATACCAATATCAGAAATTTTCAGGTAAAACGAAATGCAAATATCAGAAATTTTCAGATAGTTGGTGCGAAAGCAAAAAGAAAAAAAAAAATTCAGAGATTTGACGAAGTCCTACTTGATTTACTAATGAGTGATCAATAGATCAAACAAGCTGGCTACTTGATTGAGCGGGTCCTCTGAATGAGAGGTCCGCTCCGATACCAAACCGTTGCATACTGTAACGGTGCAGACCAGAACAAGAACCGACCTCTCAATACAAAGTACAAGATAGCGTAGCGGAAGACTTAGATACCAATGATCCGAACAATCAATATTTCAATGCAGCCCCGAACATACATCATCATCATCATTCCATGGTGTGAAGGGGTCTGGCGCTCACACAGGAAGAATGCGCCAGCCCCAACCATACACAGACGAAGAGGAGGGGGATTAGACGAAGAAGAGGGGAAGATGGGAATGTCGTCAACACCAAGTCTTCGGCACAGGCCCAAATAGTCCCTCGTCAAAATGTCTGAATCCCAATGTCGAGTCTGGATCCAATGTCGTCAAGTCTGAAGTCACAACTCTCTCTCTCTGTAGTAGTCCACTGATACTGAGAAGTCAGGTGGTGAGAGGGGAAGAAGAGATGGTGGACTTAGAAGAGAAAGAAGAAGAACTCTCTCTCTCTCTCTCAGTTCGGTACTAACCTGTGAAGTTGGCGCCTTGATGCAGGTACCTCGAAGATGTAGCTGGAGCTATGGCGCCACAGGTAAGTCTCGCTGGCCTCCGCCAGCCATCTCTCTCCCACACTACTACTACTGCCTACAAACGCCCAGCGCTGAAGACTACTGCTATGGCTACTAGCGCCCAGCGCTGAAGACTACTGCCAGCGCTAAGCTACTCCCTGCAGCGCTCCTCCTAAGTGCTGCGGCCGAATCCGGAAGACTACTCGTGCCTACTATCCAACTACCTGCCCGTGAAGTGCATGGGAACTTCCTATGTACTACTCGGGTGCCTCCTGACTGTAGGGCGAGGCAGTCCAGGAGGCTGCTCTTGCCAATGCCGAAGGGAGTCAGGGGCTGCTGTTATGAACTTGGTTGTCTGACGATTTTTACCGCCACTCACACACATGCAATCTCATACATGCCCATACATGCATAAGAGAAGGGGGGGAGGAGACAGAGTCCACACTGCACACAGATCAGAATAGGCAGCGGAATACAGCTATGCACAAATGGGGAGAAGACACACAATGTTTCTCTTTCTCTGACACACTCCCAACAACCAATCACAAGTAGAACCAGCGAGGATAACAATTGAAATCACACTGATGATGAGCCAACTCAAACAATTATCGTAACAGAGTTTGTTCCAGTATCTCGCCACTCTCAGAACTCACACCCCACTCTTTATCCTACACCCAATTAGTAGCGCCACATCAGAATGGCCTCCCAGAGGCCAGCGCCAACCACCCTGATGAAGAACAGGTCCTGCGATGAAGTCTTCAGTGCCGATGGACAACTCTGACGAAGGAACAGGCAGCTATGGCTGCCACCACCCACGAGTACACAGTGTAGAGCCTCGATGTAGCCC